CGGGCACACTTGCGTTCCTTGCGTGCGTGAAGCGCATTCCATACTTCGGTGTGTGCCTCACCGAAGGTCACGAACGGTTTAGGGTTTAGGGTTTAGGGTTTTGGGTTTTGGGTTTTGGGTTTCGGGTTTTGGGTTTGGGGCTTTGGGTTTCGGGTTTTGGGTTTAGGGCCTTCGGGTTTCGGGTTTAAGGTTTCGGGTTTTGGGTTTATGGGTTCGAGGCTCACAGGATCCTTCGCGTTTTTCACGGTTTCTGCCTCAAATAGGCAGCAGAGGGCGAGGCTTAAGCCTTGCAACCAATGGAGCTTAGCAGCTTTGATTCCTCAAAGGTACATCTTCAACTGCCAGCGCCACATCCGTGACAGCCACCTCACAGATGCTGGGGCTTTGTTTTCGGAGCTACACTCCGGGATTAGGGTGAGGGAAGAAGGGTCGCAGATGTCATGCCGGCACACGGCAACGAGAATTAAAACCCGATGGGCATTAATGTTATTGCGGTTCTCTTGGAGGAATAAATAAGTCCCCAGACGTATGAACTTGCTCTTTGCAGAGTGTTTTGAACTGCGTTAAGCCAAAGACGCTGCGGAGCTTGCTAACAGCCCCGTGCCACACAGTTTCATGTATTCAATGTATTCTCGTCTCGACATACACATGCAGCCGAGGACGAACACCGAGACACAGACTCAGACAAGCCTCACACACACTGTCTCGGCGACGAGCTTGACTGGAACGTCGACGACACTCACCGACACCAGCATAACGAGTATATCTCTGACAGCAACGAGCTACACGACAACACGGTCAAGTAGTTTGACGACTTCGGCCACCATCACCAGCCTGACCACTATTTCGGTCACAGGGACTACGTTGACGTCAACCAGCCACACTGCAAGCGCAACCAGCATGACCACTACTTCGCTCACGATGAGTACCTTGACGTCAACGAGCTACACTGCAAGCGCAACCACCTTGACCTCTACTTCCCTCACAATGACCACCTTGACAGCAACGAGCCACACGACCACGTCGTCAAGTATTTCCGCGACATCTGTGACAACATCAACGGTCTCGGTGACCACGTCCACGGCAAGCTCAGTGACCAGAACCACCTCAACGAGCAGCTTCCCGGATAGATTGCGACATAAGAGCTTTACGGTTTTAGGTTTAGGGTGTCGTGGCTGGTTGTTGGTCGTAGTCTTAGTTTCTTCGTTCGACAACCCGAGCAACCCACATTGTGTTGATCTGCTTGAAACGGAGGTGCCGCACTCGTGGCCACTCCTTTGCACATATGTTTCCACGGCCGATATCTCACGAAACTAAGGCTCTGTTACTGCCACAACTTCCATCAGCAACACCACCACTACTGCGACAACCACCTCTACCACGAGCAGCACCTTTACTGCAAGTTCCTGACCAGTATCGCGACGAGACACCCTTCAGCGGTTGCCGCCTCACAGCTGGGAGCCGGATTGCTTCCGCTGTGCTGAGGGTGTGGGGTAGCAGTGAGACAGTATGTTGCCTGGAAGCTCTGGTGCTTCAGGGCTTGTGTTTAACCCCCTNNCCCCCCCCCCCCCCCACCCCCCAGTTATCTGGTTTGTGTTGTTGGACATATCGTGAATGAAGCTCTTTTTCTCCTGGAAATGTTTGAAACATTTTGAATCCTTCATCGCAAACCTCTAAACCCTAAACTCGATTGTTACTTGACTGCTAGGTACTGGTCCAGCACCCTGGTGCCGCCAGCTTTGGGCGGGCGTTTCCGCCAACTCCACTTGCGAGGCCCCTTCGAGCGACCTAACCTACTATAGGGCCTTACCCATATAGGCCCCATAGTAGTTCCTCTTTGGGACTCCCTAATAGGATCCTAACTATAAGCCACAAAAAGGAACCACTATGGGGCCTATGGGTAATAATAACATTGTCCCCGTCAGGGGATCCCGCAACCTACTGCCCTGGCCTCCGAACCCTCAACACTGTAGATACATCAACAAGAAGCTCGCGCCCTGCACTTCAAAGCGTAGTATGCCACATCCGGAAACCTGGCTCCAGTAAGGATGAAAGATCCAGGCGGCTTGAACACAATGTGGGCAGCAGCCAGGAAAACCGAAGCTACAACATGCCAAGGTGTAAAGCCCGGCAGGAGGGACCCTGAAAGAATCGTCGAAAGGGCAACAAACCTACGTACTAGAGCGACGCTGCAATTGGAGCACAAATTGCAGCTGCGCAAGATTCAGTTTCAAGAAGTATTCTGTAGCATATGGTAGTCCATGACGTGACATACTTGGGGGGCCCTTGGTCTGGAGCAGGCCCAAAAGGTGCTTTCTAACCTTTCTAACCTTGATTGAAGCCTTGGAGCTAGCAGAATTTCCCCTAAGCCCACTGAGCTAAGAGCCGCATACACAGCCTTCTTCTATGACCCTAAACCCTAAACCTTACTAATATGTGTCTTAAACTTGGACCCTTTAGCAGCGATCCCCGGGGTCCCCAAGGCCCAAATTGAAACCACGCTGAAACCCTTTTTTTCTCTTGAAAAAAGGCGCCAAATCCAAAAAAAAAAACAGAGCCCAAAACCCCAGAACGCCTAAGCCCGAGACACCAAAAATAGCTCCCAAGCCCCAAAGCCCCAAAAAACAGCTTCCAAAACCCTTAAGCCCTAAACCCCCAAACCCAAGAAAGACCCCAAAGTTTGGGGTCTTTCTTGGGTTTAGCGTTTAAGGGTTTTTTAAGTGCCCAGGCGGCGTCGAACACCGACGGCTGCCTCGCTCCGGTGAGCTCGGTGCGGCATCCGGGCTGCGGCGAGGGCCCCAAGGACCGCCAGAGAAGAGCCGAGCCTCGTTTTCCCATAGGCTCCATAGTAGTTCCTTTTTGGGATTACCTTATAGGATTCTAAATATGAATCTCAAAAAGGAACTCCTAGGGGGCCTATGGGCCTTTTTGGGATTACCTTATAGGATTCTAAATATGAACCCCAAAAAGGAACTACTATGGGGCCTATGGGTTAGGGCGTTGGGCGATTTCGTTGCTGAAGGCTGTCTAGGAGGCTGATTGGGGTTGAGGTGATAAGGCTGACGGGTAGGTAGGGACTGAGACTTTAGCGCTTCAGCTCTTGTTTCATTTTCGGGTTCGGGGGATTTGAGGGTTCATCGGCTTTCAGGTTGGAGGGCAATATAGAGGCCTCAACAACTACCAATTTATAATTATAGAATACTGGGCCCCAAAACCCTATTCAATTACTGAGGCCCCTATATTAGAGGGGTTTCGGTCACCCAGGGTTTCACCTAGCCTAGTGGTGTTTAGGGGGTATGGTGTTCAAGGGTCTGGTAGAGGCTTAGAGGCCATAGGGCCAGGGGGCCGAGGCTTAGGAGTTTGCAGGGGACATGGTGTTTGGTTCTTCGGCCTTTTGGTTTCAGGGCTTCGGGGTTTTAGGCAAAAGGGTTTAGGGTTTAGGGCAGTCGGTCGCCTCTGAAGCCCAGCAGCTTTACTGCTGGACAAGACGCCCCACACACACTCACAGTACGAAGCCTGTTGCAAAAAGGGTTTAGGGCAGGGTTTTAGGTGTGGTGTGCCGGGCTTAAGGATCTTGATTTTGAAGGTTTAGTGTTCTCTAGGGTCCAAGGGCTTGCAGCAGTTAGGCTTAGAGGGCTCGAGGTTGCTGGGACTTGGGGTTTATGGGGGTTAGGGGTTTAGAGTTCAGGATCTGGGCTTAAATCCTAGATCGGCGCTGCCTGCGCCCTGAAGTGCCACCCGCATGGTGCCTGGTATGTGCTGAGTCTGGACTTCGCTGTGAGAATATTCATGAACCCATTCCCACGACTAATCAGAGTCGCAATGCCCTAAACCTTATGAGTAGTTCTCTGGATCAGGGTCTCTTTTGGGGTCGCTTATATAAGGGTGCCGTGCCATACGCCCAAAAAGGAACTCTAATATAGAAAACTACCATTATGAAGTCTCGAAGCCGAGAATAACGAGCCCCCCCAAACCCTAAACCCTAAGCCCAAAGAAGAGGAGGGCACCTTGATGTGTCCAGCGGCCTCTGCGGCCGCAGAAGAGGCCTGGTCTCCTTTGGGTCTAGGGTTTGGGGTCAGGGTTTAGGGTTTAGGGTTTAGGGTTTAGGTTAAGTTTAGGGTTAAGTTTAGGGTTGGCGTCAGGGTTTAGGGTTTAGGGTTTAGGTTAAGTTTGGGGTCAGGGTTTAGGGTTTAGGGGCTTTGGAATGCAATAAGGGTGTCTCCTTTGGGTTAAGGGCCTATAGGTGGGTTTAGGGTTTAGGTCGAAGGGATCTGGCTAGTCCTCCTGTTCAGTAGCAAAAAAAGTTTAGGGTTTAGGGCTAGGGTTTAGGGTTTAGGGTTTAGGGTTTAGGACTAGGGTTTAGCAAAAATGGGGCACAGTCGGCGCCTCGGTTCCTGGCATATGCTTAGTATCAGGGGGTTTTGGTGTCCAATAAAGGGGTCAGGAATAGTTAATAGTGGCATCTCCCGTATAGTCCATATATGTCTCTAAGCCTATACCATAAGATCATTGCTCTAGATCTTCGGGTCCCTATATTCGGGCTTCGCGGTGTTTTAGGATTCTGGGTTGAGGGTTTACAGTAATACAGGGGCCTTCATCATTGCCAATACTATTCTGGGGGGGGTGGGGGGGGGGCTCCTAATTACAATTGTAGCAAAACAGACACCAAAACCCCATTGAAATGACAAAAACCCCTAATATAGAACCCTATCGTAGACCCCTTCTAGGACCCTTTAAGGATCCCTTTAAAGGATCCCCATAGATCCCTTCTAGGACCCTTTAAAGGAACCTCCCAAGTCTATTGCTTAAGGCCCCTACCACGATTTTTCGCAGTAGGGGATCTTCGGGCCAGGGTTTGGAGTCGGTTTAGGGTTTAGGGTTTAGGGTTTAGGGTTTAGGGTTTAGGGTTTAGGGTTTTAGGGTTTAGGGTTTAGGGTTTAGGGTTTAGGGTGCGGGGTTGTGCAGTCATGAGTGCTGCACTGCTTCACGGCGACGGCAGTTCCGGGCGAGAGAAGCCTGCTGCAAAAAAGGGTTTAGGGTTTAGGGTGTCTAGAGCTCTAAGGCTCTAGGAATCTGGGTAGTTTTCTAAACTCGGGTCCCTTTGAGGGTCCTGACTATAAGGGTGCCGTACTATATTGGGGACCCCAAAAGGGACCCTAATTTTTGAGAACTACCCATCTGGTGCTAGGCTCCAAGGATGGCAAAGGGCTTTTGGGGGTGTAGGGTTTGCAAGGGTTTAGGGGGGTTTAGGGCTTCGGGTTTAGGCTTTTCAAGGGTTTGGCAAGGGTGTAGGGTTTAGGGTTTAAAGTTTAGGGTTTGCAAGGGTTTAGGGTTGGAGATTAGATGATCAGAGCCTAAACCCAAAACCCTAAACCCTAAGCATGAGTCCGAGTTGCGAGAGCGTAAACCCTAAACAGCCCCAGTTGTTCCTTCCGGTTCCTCATGACAAACTATTACACTGTACCCCCAGGCCCTGTTCTAATGTTAACCCCAAAACCCTAAACCCTAAACCCTAAAGTTAAAGGGATGATATTAGGGCCTGGTGTCATGCTCTGAAGGTCGGGTCAGAGGTTATGGGTCATATGGGGGGTTTCCGAAAATAGGGGACCCTAATATAGTACCCTAAATAATAGGTTCCTTATTATAAGGACCCCGAAATAAGGTACCCCCAATTTTCGGAAAGTCCCTAATATGTGCGTTTTAACTTTCGTTTTGCATCGATTGCTGTAGCCACTGGTTTCGTTTTGTTGGTATTCGTACTCGCTTAGGTACTACAAACATCTTCTAACCCTACTGCCGCCTAGCCGTTACCCATAGGCCCCATAGTAGCTCCTTGTGGGGATGACCTTATAGCATTCTAAATATGAACCCCAAAAAAGGAACTACTATGGGGCCTATGGTCTCCACGTAGGTCGGGTGCAAAATGTGCGCGACGCTCTATGCACAAGACTGGGGCAGATCTGGCTTCAGCCTCTCTGGTGAAGTTCGCTGGGGTCCGGGCATCAGTTGCGAGACTCTTGGCTTTGCTGGCTTCTAGGTTCTATAGTGAATGAATATCTTCTGTATGTATGTTGCACACGCATGTGAAAATATATGTATATTATATATTATATACATGCGCATTCATTCCACGTGCGTTCATTGTCATTCACTATATATTCCATCGCTAGTGTCTTCGCGGTTGGATTGGTGTGCGACAGGAACAAAATGTCTAGGCCTTTCAAAGGCATGTTTCAGATGCTGTGAATCCCGTAGGAAAAAGGCTGAATCATGAGTCCAAGGATAGAGGAGTCCCTGGTGGATGGCTACCAGGTTTGGTTGGTAAATGACTGTGGTGAGCAGATGGTCCTGCTCGGGACGGTGGCGAAGCAGCAAGACCGGCAGCTGTCTGCGACCTGTTGCGATGAGTCCTGGTACTCTTTTTACCTGGGCCTTCTCACAGCGCCAGCGGATGCAGCATCGATTGCCATCGTCCCATTTCGAGGCTCGCAACTTTACTTGCCATCTTTCCTGCCAATTATGCAGCGGACAATCGCAACTTCTACTACAACTACCACGATTGCGGGCAACACGAAGCTCGACTGTAATTACCGGAAAATCCTGAGTGCTTTGCGCCTTGTCCGGCTTCAGGGCACGGGGTTCTGCACAGGGACCAGGTAGATGATCACAGGCGGCTTTTGGCATGCTTCTCCCTGTCAAGGAAAGTTCGTACCGGCATCAGTTGATGCGACTGCTGGAAACGGTAGTACTTCACTCGATGGGCTCCCGCTGCATCGACATCCCTAAACCCTAAACCCCTAAACCCTATAAACATCAGAAAGCATGGCCCGAGCGCGGCATTCAACGCTGAATCCACATACGAATGGGCTACTGTCGGCCAGATTGCTGCTGCTGCTTGTTCTTAGACTACGGACGCCTAGGGTCCCTAGTTTATGGGTTTAGGGTTTAGGGTTTAGTTTACTCTATAACAAAGATCGGTAATATACCGAACTTTCAGAGCCATCTGAAATTGAAGCACCATGTAGCAAAAGAGCTGTTTTAGCCTTAAGCCCTAAACCCTAAACCCCTATAGCCGGAACCGCCAGCATCCTGAAACCCGCAACTCGCCCGAAAGCCTTGAACCTAGCGCGCCTGATGGCCGAAGCCGAGAGCCTGATATAATATAGGGGCCTTCATAGTTAGAATAGGGTTCGGGGTATCTTGCACTTTAGTTTACTACAAATTATGACAATTTAAGGAACCCCCAAAACCCTATTCTAACTATTAATCCTGAAGCCTGGTATGACCATGTCGGCTCAAACTTTCAGAGAGGGCTGTTGCCCCGACACGTCGGTACAATCTGCCTTTCACCAATCGTGTTATGTGAGGAGGGGAGGCACATGAGCTTAATTATGGGTTTAGGGTTTAGGGTGTGTGTCGCAGATACGAAAGTTCGTAGGCTTGTAGCTTGCAGCCGTGTATTGCCATACACGTTGTTTCACACGGCTGATGCTTCGATGTGGCTTGCTTTCCGTGCTCGCTTTGCAGGTTGCTCGGACCGCTGCTGACTCATTGTGGGACGGCGAAACAAAAGAGTTTTGGGACTTGTGCAAGTCGTGTACATCCAGGCGGCAGGTGTTTTGTTTCACTACTGGGCTTTGTCTCGACCTGGACATCGATGCGCCGTCGGAGGTTATGTGGAGTGCTTGCATGAACCCGCTATTGGTACCGGAGTCTTGCCGCACCAAAGGCATTCATCCTCCTGGCACATCACGGGAGGAAATGGAGAGCTGGGACCGAGATCTGTGATAGCACGACGATGGCTGAGTGCTGCGACTGGTCAATTCCTAGTTGCTCCTTAACGAAGTTTTCTTCTGTGTGTTCATCGCTCGTTGGGACTGATTGCCGGATTTTGTGCCTGATTCGTGCGAGTGTGCGAGTCAAAAAGCTGTATGTCAACCCTTTACAACAACCTCCAAAGATACCCGATAGCTGAAGCACAGAGCTTCGACACTTCCGAAAACCACAAAACAGCATGCTCGAGACCACACGTAAACTCAGGACCATTGTCATGAAACACCGTTGAAGAAAGGCTTCAGCCAAAAGGGATATCAGCGCAAGCCAAGCTTTAGTCAAATAGCAGGTTAACCAAGCTTTGGGTTTAGGCTAGTTTAGGCTTCCCGAAAGCCCTGGACCCTAAAACCCTCAACCCCATCACCCTTAACAGGAGAGTAGCTACAGTGACATGTATGCTCTTGCCAACGGGGGCATAATTATGTATGTGCTTGCGCGTAGGACTGTGCGAACCTTTTGTCACTACTCATTTAAAATGCCCTTACCCCCAAACTCTACAGCCCCATAGACAGGAGAGGCTTCACTTTGTTTCGTGCCAGCCAACGCCTGATAGACCTCCTTAGAGGATCATGGGACTTAGTGAGTAGGGTTATAACTAAGGTAACTATACTTATAACCCCAATTAAGGGACTTATAACCTTACTTACTAAGTCCCATGATCCTTGAAGTCGCCTGGCTAGTCCGAGTTGTGAGAGCGTAAAGCCCCTCAGGCCCTAGACCTAAACCCGTAGCGCTGAACCCCATCCTAAACCTTGCCTGGCTTTGTCTGTCAAAACCCTAAGCCCTCTGAACCCTAAACCCCATAGACCCTAAGCCCTAAACCCTAATCAAAACCCTGAACCCTATAAACCCTATAAGCCCCATAGACCCTAAGCCCTAAACCCTAATCAAAACCCTAAACCCTATAAACCCTATAAGCCCCATAGACCCTAAGCCCTAAACCCTAATCAAAACCCTGAACCCTATAAACCCTATAAGCCCCATAGACCCTAAGCCCGGAACCCTAAACCCTAAACCCTAAACCCTAAACCCTAAACGAGCTAAGGACCGAGGTTGGCTTGCAGGGCTGCCTGGGAATTTCTGTCTCGGACTCGACACCGCGCCTCAGAAGACCCGGAAGAGTTGAAGGGCTTAGTTTCGGAGTTATTATAGGGCTTTCAAAAGGGAAGTTAGGAGTTATTAGACGGCTTCTAAAGGGGTTAGTTAGGAGTTATTATAGCGCTCTTCAAGGGAAGTTGAAAGTGCTGAGGGCGTGTCGGGTTTTAGAGGGTTTAGTGCTGGAGCCCGTGTTGTTGTTGCCGTAGTTGCTTTATGTTTTTTTGCTTTTAGAGGCCAAAGAACTCCATCCTATGAACCCTTAACCGGGGGTTCAGGGTTTGGGGAAGTTTCTGGGTTTTTGGTTCTGGGCTCAGCTGCCGAGGGTTTGCATGTTTGAGCTGAGCTGCTCCGAATGGCATCGAGGTTCACCAACCCGGAGAACCTCGACGCCGTCGTGCAGGCACCTTCCTTGCACAGAAATGTGCTTTATTTAGGCAAACGATGCTCCACCTCGGTACGATTTTTTTCGTGAGTCCGCCTCACAAGTCTTCCCAGAACACCTTGAAGCTCCTGGAAGGGTCGGGTTGAGCTGTTCCCGTCTCCGGTCTTTGCTGAGGGCATCTGTCCTGCTCCCGCTTGGTTCTCTAAGGCTTCGCGCTTCGGGCTTCTTAAGCTGCTCTCAGTAGCTGAGTGGATACACTTTACACTTTTTGGGATAATATTACCTTCTATAAAACTGAAAGTGTACACTTTTCTGGGCTTATGAACTCAGCAACTAAGTGCTGGTCCGCTTGGACAAAACACGTCCCGACAAGCAAACGAATGCAGTAGTCCTGAAAAGCCGAAAGGCTTGAGTTTAGGGTTTTAAGGGTTCAAGGGTTTTTTGGGTTAGGGTTTACAGCGACGACAGCTGCAAAAGATTCTTTTGAGTTTCCGGGCTCCTGGGCGGGCCCTGCCCGATCTCAAACCCCACAAGCATCTCCCAAGACCCCCGAAACACAAAGAAGCTTGGAAGTTGAAGGGCCCGATCCATAGTCTGCAGCCTTCCCCTAAACCCTAAACCCTCACCGCATGAGGGGAGAGGGCTGACAAAAGCGATTCGATCTTCTCGGCACCTTCCTAGCACTGAGACTTTCTGAAAACCTCCTGTATGTCCATACCGGAACTGAAACGCTGGGGTTTGGGGGAGGTGCTGCATCGTAGAAGGCCGGCTAATATAGGGGCCTAAATAATTACCTATACTATTTTGGGGGTTCCTTATGTTAAATATAGCATACTGGGCCCCAAAGCCCTATTCTAATTATCAAGGTCCCTACATAAAGCTTGAACGTTCTGCCGATCCGAGACCCTCAACTTTGACTGCCCTAAGCCGATGCCCTGTTCGGAATGTCCGAGTTGTGAGCGCCGAAACCCAAAGCCCTGAACCCAATCTGAAGGCTGAACTAAGCAGGTCTACCTGGAGCCTCCAAACCCCTGCACCCCAAAGCCACAAGCCTGCTTTGAAACACGTTTGGGTTTACGGTTTAGGGAGGAACCTAAGTACTTAGCCTTGAGCATCTCGCCACGAGTGCGATATGCTGCGAGGGAAATAGGACGTGCGAGCTCCAATCAAGCCTGTGTAAAAGAGGGAGGAACCTAATCCAGAAATTCAAGGATTGGAGCGATAGACCAGGATGCATCCTCAGCACTTTTCAGTTGGCTTCTCACAGTTCTCTTGAACGCGAGACACCCCAAGTTAAGAAGGATTACCTCAGGTTGCTTCGTCGCTCTACCGCAGGAGTTTGGGATTGCATCATCATGGCTTTAGGGTTTCGGCTGCGGGGACTGCCTTTTGAGGGACTTATAGAAGTAGATCCTGCTACGGAACCCGAAAAAGGTGGGTTTCTGAGGGTCCAGGTAAACCCTAAACCGTCCTAAATAATTAGAATAGGGTTTGGGGTGTATATTATATTATAATTACAAGAAGGAACTGCAAAACCCTATTCTAATTAAACCCTAAACCCTAAACCCTATAAACCCTACATTAAGCGTTGTCTGATCAGGTCATTCAGGGCTTCGTGTCCTCAGCAGCGGGCGACGGGATCGATGCTGACCACGCGCGGGTCCCAGAGAGTATAATATAGGGGCCTCAATCATGAGAATAGGCTTTTGGGGGTATTCTACTATAGACTATAGTATACTAAGGAACCCCAAAACCCTATGCTAATTCTGGAGGCCCCTACCTTAGGGTTCCAAGAGGGATCTATGAGGGGTTTGCCTAAATTGGGATAGATGGCTTTGGGGTTTCAGGATTTGGGTTGTCACGGCGTCGGTCTTCAGGCAAAATCATAGGGCTCAGAGGGTTTCGATTTCTACTGTGTCCACGGAGCACCGTCATCAGCAAAAGGCACTTGAACTCTGAAAGCTTAAAACACCCCAAACCCTAAACCCCAAACCCTAAACCCTAAACACTAAACCCTAAGCCCCACACCCGAAACCCTAAACCCGGAGACGTCTCTAGTGCCAAAGTGCAGTCGTCGCGTACCAGGAACCTCGCCTAGGCTTGTCCGAGAGTGAGTGCTGAAACCCTGAAACCCTAAACCCAAACACCTGGATTCAGAGTCCGTCGGCTCCTTGGCGCGTCTGCCTCGACTTAATGTAGGGGCCTGAAGAATTGCCTATACTATTTTTAGGGGGCTCCTTAAAATAATAGTATAATGGGCCCTAAAACCCTATTCCTGACTATTACCCCGAATATAGAACCCTATCATAGATTCCTTTTATAACCCTTCAAGGATCCTTCATTGCGGCCCCTCTATTCGCCAACATTAAACTCCCCCCCATCACCCCGCCCTTAGTCTCGTATGTGGGCAGTGCTCCGATCCCCGAAGACCACTTCGATGCGGTTTAGGGGTTATAGAGTTTAGGGGGATGTGCCAACAATGGATTCGGCAGGGGCTACTAAACCCTAAACCCTAAACCAGATTAGAGACCTTGGCATGTGCAACACTGAGCCCCAGACCCGAATAAGAGAGACCCCCAAATCCCAAGAATGATTTTTGAGGACACCCATCCCTATAAATCAAACCCCCGGATAAAAATACCCTTATAGAACCCTTAAAAAACCCTAAACCCTAAACCCTAAAACTTATAGAACCCTTAGAAGAAACCTCCCAAACTCAGGTGTCAGAGGTCCAGGTGGCTCTGGGCTCTACCTGCATCTTCGAGCGAAGGAGGCCGAGGGACCTTTTGGGAGCGGGCGCGTTCTAATGTCGGTTTAGGGTTTAGGGTTCATATGTGGGAGTCTCAGAAAATAAGGGGGTACCTTATTTTGGGGTCCCTATAATGGGGATCCTATTATTTAGGGTACTATATGAGGGTCCCCTATTTTCGGAAACCCCCATGTCGGTTTCGGAGAGTTGGACGTTTAGGGTTTAGGGGGTGAGGGTTTGGGTTTAGGGCTTGGGGTTTAGGGGGTGAGGGTTGCATAGGCGCCTTAGGCGCTGGCCGACACCTCAGTCCGTGCTGAAAGGTTTTCGGAGAATTACAAGTTCCTTTGTAGGGGTTCTTTGCATAGTACCGAAGTTAATTAATCGTTATGGGGGTCCCTTAGTTGGCATCGGTTCTTTACTGTTCAGGGTTTATTAGATCCTTTCCGTGGCTTTGCTGTGTTTTTGTTGAGGTAGCCGGTGAAGGGGGACCACGATGTCGACATGATTCCGCTTCAAGGGCTGCTGGCATTATTCTAGCAGAGGGCTGTGCCCATATCCATCACTCCGATGATGATCTGAACAATCTTGCATAGACTTCAGCAAACACTACATGAAGGCTGAACTGAAGAGCACACCACGAATTGTGGGCTGTTGGGCATTGCCACAAGATGAACGATAAAGCAACGACGGGAACTAGGTAGCGTCACTTTGTCGAGTAGTCTGCCACGAGGGCGCCCCATGGGCCTCCCGGTGCTCCGAGAAAAAGTCCTGCAGCCGGCCGCCGCTTGCTGGGAGGATGTAGCTTGTTTCACTAAGTGAAACAAGCAACAGCCTCCCAGCAAGCTCTGGCCGGCTCACATCTCATGAGGCTAATGCGACCTCCATATCTTTCACCGAAGAGGTGGGGTTTTGGCGACTGTGGCTGGCCGACAACCGGCGAGCTAAGCACACCATCCAACATCTTCAACACCTGCTTGCTGTTGTTCGCTGTGGCTCTTGTTCCGTTGCACATGTGTATTGTCGTCGGAATGTTGCTTTGCAGCCCCATTCGTAAATGGGGTTGCAAAGCAACAATCCGACCACGATGCACATGTGCAATGCAAGCATCAGGTGGAGCCGAGAGGAGGTCGACGCGAAGCAGCGCGACATCAACAGCTTCGCGGAGCGGAACGAGCAAGCTGCGGGGCAGTATGAGCAGCTGAGCCTGCTTGAGGATTATAGGCAGAGTTCCAATCCAAAGTTCGATGGGACCAGCAAGCAATGATGGGGTTGACAACTTGCGATGCCTGTCTCACGCATCAAGCTGATCGAGAAGCAATGACTTAGCCTGAGGGGAGAGAGGTTAACTACTGAGGTGTTTGATTTCTGACCGACTTTGGCGTGCTGCTTTATCTTGTTTGTTCTTTCTTGCTCTCTCTCTCTCTCTCCCCCTCTCTTTCTTGTTCTCTCTCTCTCTGTGTTACGTAGTATGCAGCGGAGACAGAACTATGCGGAGCCTTGCCGGCCTTGTGAGCGTGAGAGTCGAAACCCGGTAGTAAGCGCAAGTAGCAGCAGGTGTGATAGTGCTAGTGTTGAAAGCACAAACAATGTCTCCGAACCCTACCCCAGTAGCTACCACGAGATGTATATGCTCACCACCAACGACAACGTTTGCCGACGTTGTCGAACCTTCAACTCTAATTTCCAACAGAGCTTTTTCCCCAATCTAAACAACACAGAGACGACGTAAACACAGATACCACACCCTCGCGGGAATGGGCTAACTCTAGAATTTCTAGAACCTTGCAAAAATAACTTCTAGAGTTTGGACCTTTGTAAACTCTACATGCAACAATAGTGGGGACTTGCCACATGCTATATGATGGGGTTTCTTTAAACGACGGGCACCATACATAGGGGACGTTGCTATTGTAAAACTCATCATGTGCCTGCGGGTTGAGCATGACGCCGTTACCTACATCAAGAATGAGCCGCAGTCGAAACCTGCAGTGTTGAGTTGCTCCTTAAACCCAAAGAACCTGCCGTTTTAAGGACTTATATNNCCAAAAAGGTAGGTTATTTGGGGTCCTACAAGTTACGGCGTTTCTCAAGTGGGCAGTCACCAGCTTGAGGGCTTACACCCTGACTCCTAAGCTTTAAAGGCCATATACAAATACTAAACTCCACAAACCCGAAAGCCTAATCTCGACACCCACCATGCGGGCTCATCTTAGCTAGGTGGGAGGCCACAAATCCTTAAACTGGCCCTAAACCACAAACCCTTTAGGTAGCTAAAAGCTGGTAATGCTTCGAGCTTCGAGCCGACAGAAAGTAGGCCGCCCTGGCGTCCGCCTGGAACCCTCAGGCCCACAGTGTTTTTTTTTTTTTTTGGGGGGG